TTTAATCCAAAATTTATGAAAACGAAACAGGTCGCTGATAATCATAAAGTAGTATCGCGTAACACCATTTTAAATTGTACTACAGCTTAGTAATTCTTATCAGTTCGCTTTTTGTAATCCCAAAACTGTCTAATAAACTCAAATAAGGACCACTGTAACTTACATTTGCTTTTAGATAGGATATTTGCCTTTTTAATGAATAAATATTTTATATTTTTCATGTAAAGCAAATGAATAATATTTCCGGTAGGGATGTGCCCTCTCCGCCTCGGATGTTCTGCGCGTGTAAACTGGATGAAAGTACGTCGCACTGTCTGCGTGGAGTTCTAAGCATTCATTAGCTTAATTCAATGTTTTTTTGTTTTCTCTCGGAGGCGAACTGTTTTTGACTGCGATCACATGCATGGAAATGATAAACACGATTGCAACACCTAATTTTACTAAACAAGACTAAAAGGCGCTTAGTAAACGGTGGTTTTTTTCCTTCGCACGTTGGCTGATTGCCTCATCTGCACATTTGCTTTCCTCTAGGAGGAGGAATATCGCCATGGTTATAGTAAGGATATGTCTCTAGGCTCAGATTATAAGGATGGTATTGCATCGGCGCCCAAACACAGTAGTTGCATTTAGATCTAAAGCCGGTTTCGTCTTATTATCTGGTTTACAAGTCAAGGGTCTTAGATACAAAGAGAGGTGCACCATGCTTTGTGGATGTCACCCCTTAGATAGTCGTAGATTTGATGCGAATGAATTCAACCTTGTTAATCTCATCCCTAACTCGCTTTTTGCTTCACCTAGCATCGCCAAGTTTCATAATGAGCTGCTCTGAGAACGGTTCCTATGTGCTGAAGCTGGGAAACACTGATGAAGATGTCTATTATGGCATTGAGGGCCAGGTACTCTCCATTTGGTATCCACTGTCAATTGTGAAGACCCTTACCCCAGATTTCTGTGCCTTTGTTGTAGTTCGATGCCCCGATTCTGTCAGCCGCATGGATAAAAGATAGA